TGCTGCGTGCTGTGATGTCTTCCCCTCATGATGGAAGCTTGCTTATGCATGGGTCCACGAGCCAAAATAAACTCTTCCTTAAACTGCCTTTGGTCGTGGTGTTTATCACAGCTTATGACACAGTTTATCACAGAATAGTAAGTAATACTCTAGAAGAGAAGATTAATGGGTTAGGGGCACAGTTGGTGGAGGGTTTTGGCTTCTACCACAGGAGTAAAAACTAGACAGTAACGGATTTATGCAGAGGGGCATCTACATCAAGGGTGTCGGGGCCCGAATATGATATTTCAATATAGGCCTCAGCTCAATTCCAGGAGCTCGAATCTCCTATTGTCTTTTAGATGTCAGCTGGTTACTGAGGATGGCCCAGGCCACAGTGCAGAATGGTTTCTAGTTTGCATAACAATAGATCTAGGCCCCACACCTATCATGGGGGGCTAGTGGCACGTGCCTGGGGGGCCAGAGAGCTGTACCTGAAGACTAGTGAGACATGCGTTAAGGGAGGCATGAGGGTTTGTGTATGTGCTTTCTAGGACCATCTCTAGGGTTAAAGGAAGTATTTCCTAATCAGCGCTAGATACATGACCATAGATGTCTTCTGTCAGTACCCCTGCTTCTAGAAAGCTATTTAAGAGGATGCTTGAATAAACCGGTGTCTGCAGTATGGACTGAGAGCCCTGCTGAAATGATGAGATGTCTCTGTGTAGTTCTTAACGCCGTCGGGTAGCTAGGACTTCCCTGATCCACACTCCCCCACTCAGGGTCAAACCCAAGGTTGTTCGACTGATTCTGAAAACAGCCCCAGAGCCATCAGTCCAGGATAGATGATCCCTGTAGTGTAGGACTGACACAGACGGGACCCCGGCACAAGGGAAAGGGAACTTATATGGCAAGATTATATTAATTGAAAACACAATGAATGCTATGACTTGGATGCAGTTTTTTATGTTCCCCAAGGATTCATACATTGAAGGTTTGGTCCTCAATGATGGAATGTGGTAACACGTTTAAATGAGGACTCTAGGGGCTGTACAGATGGCTCAGAGGTTAAGAGCACTGGCTGCTCTTCCAGAGGTACTGAGTTCAATTCTTAGCAACCACATGGTAGCTCACAACCATCTGTAGCAAGATCTGGTGCCCTCTTCTGGTGTTCAGGCAGAACACTGTATACTTAGAAATAAATAAATAAAATCTTAAAAAAAAAAAAAGAGGAGTCTACCAGAAGGTAATAGGTCATTGGGAGTATGCCCTTAGAAGAAGAGGCTGGTCTTTCTATGGTTATAAAAAGATCACGAGTGGTCTCACCCCATCTCCTGGCCTTGTATCACCCTGTTTGCCCTGTCTGCCTCTCCCACTATGACACCTTGTGACACGGAATTATTTTTCAATTATTTGTCCTTTATTTATTGTTATTTATATTTATTTCCTGGTTTCAAAACATTTTTAAACCAGGTGGTGGCGGTGCACGTCTTTAATCCCAACACTCGGGAGGCAGAGGCAGGCAGATCTTTGTGAGTTCGAGACCAGCCTGGTCTACAAGAGCTAGTTCCAGGACAGCCTCCAAAGCCACAGAGAAACCCTGTCTCGAAAAACCAAAAAAAAAAAAAAATCAAACAAAAAAACCAAAGCCACATTTTTAATTTTTTTGAGATTATAATATAATAACATCATTTCCCCCTACTTGTTCCTTTTTGTAAACTCCAATATACTTGCTCTCTTTCAAATTCATGGCCTCTTTCTTTAAAAGGGGGAAGACAAGTTCTCCTGCTCTTAGCATTCATCAGTTGTTTGTAGTTTTTGTGTGGGGACAAAGCCTCATGATCTTTCTCCCATCCACTTTAACTTGTCTTCCTTTTGTCCTTGTTCAGTTCATGCTTAGGCAAGCATATCAGAGAGACTTTATAGATGTAGCTTCCAAAATTCCTAGGAGACACAATCTCACAGCAAACTCCCTCTTCCTCCAGCTGCTAGAATTTTTCTGTCCTCCCTTCCACATGATCTCTGAGCTTTAGATACAGGAGTTGCATTGTATGTATATATCCACTGGGACTGAGCTCTGCATTTTCATTGGTAACGGTCTCTGTTGCAGAGCGAAGTTTCCTTGATGTGGAATGAGGACTACATTTATCTATGTCTATAAGGACAAGTATTTAGAGTGTAGTTTGTGAGGTGGTGGTTGTAGGTTCTTCTCCAAAATACATGACTTCGCTTGCCATGGGAAGTTGGCTAGGTTTACAGTACCAGACATGATTTCCCTCTTAAGCAGATCTTAAGCAAATTAGGAAGGTGTTGGTTATTGCCAAGGTATGCATAGCACTACTGCATCCTTAGATCATTGTGCAATGTTGGTCATTGTATGGCTCATAGCTGGGAAGGACTGTAGGTTGACTCCCTCCTTTGGACTCGCGTATGGTGCTTTCTGGTTCCATGAAAGCTAGTCCTCAGGGAGGAGGCTTTTAAATAAGCTCCAGCTTGGTGGTCTCTGGGCCTGACGTGCATAGTGTCTTCAGCAATTGGGACTTATGGAGTCAAGCAAGTGCAATGAAAATAGCAATAGCCTGCAATATTGTAGGAGTCTCTTGGAGAACCCTGACGAACAACTCAAAAGAGGACTTCTCATGCTTAGTGTTAGGGTTTTTGTTATATGGTCTTTAGCTTTTAGAGGGACCATTGTCATGGCAGATGATAAAATTTTATTTAAACTATATATGTATGTTTATACACAGCCTTACATGAATTATAGGCATTTAAGTAGTTAATATAATGACCCCTTATGATATTACAGAATCCTTACTGTTATTTGACTTTCCTTCTGTATTTATCTCCCCAACTTGAGCCGCCTCCTGTTTTTCCCACTGCAGATCACTTGTATTCTGCTATTTCTTCTCTATTGCTCCCTAATCCCAGACATGATCTCTTTTCACTTTCATTTTCTTCAGTTACTCTAGGATGTATGCTTCATCTGAGGATGTGGAACTAGGGGCCTCAGATGAGAGAGAACATGCAGTATTTTTCTTTATGGGTCTGGGTTCTCCCAGTCAATATGATCTTTTCTAGTTCTATCCATTTACCTTCAAAGTTCATGACTTCATTTTTCTTTACATAGTGTTTATATGCTACATTTTCATTCTACATTCATCAATTGTAGGACATTTGGTTGTTTCCATTTCCTAGCTATTATAAGTAGAGCAGCAATGAACATGACTGAGCGAGTGTCTGTGGAGTCCTTTGGAACATATGCCAAGAAGGAATAGAACTAGATCATATTGTATATTTATTTTTAGCTTTTTGAAAATTCTCCACACTAAATTTCAGAGTGGTTGCACATGTTTGCAATACCACCACCAACGAATTAGAATTAGGGTTACAGTTAGGAGCAGAATCTATGTTTTTGAGTTCCTTATATATTATGGCTATTAATCATCTCTCAGATGCATAATACACACACACACATATATTTATTTATTTATATGGTCTTCCTATTCACCTAGTTGATTGTTTTTTAGCTGTGAAGAATCATTTGTTTTTATGGCATACTGTTTGTCACTTGCTGGTTCCATGAATTCCCTCTAGTGTTTGGTGTCAGTTCCTTTGTTGACCTTAGCCATTCTTACTGGAGTAAGATGAAATCTCAAAGTTGTCTTGATTTGTATTTCCCTAATTTCTAGGGATAATGAATAGTTTTGGAGCTATTTCTTAGCCATTTTGTTCTTCTTTTGAGAATTCTCTGCTCAGCTCTAAGGCCATTATTTTTAATAGGATATTTGCTTTTCTGTTGTGGTTTTGTTCTTTGGTTTTTGACTCTCTGCTTTGTTTTTTGAGTTCCTTATGTATTCTGGATATTAATTCTTTGTCAGATGTATACTTTGGACACACACACACACACACAGGAAGGATTCTTTCTCATTCTGTGGGCTTCCTCGTAATTCAGTTGTTACTTTAGTTGGGCAGAGTCTTTTAGTTTTATGAAGTCTCACTTGTCGCTCATTGGCCTTAACTCTTGGGCAAATGATGTCCTATTCAGGAAGTCCTTTTATACACTTATGTCATGTAGGGTAGCACCTATCTTGTCTTTTAGTAGTTCCAGGCTTCACATTAAGGTCTTTGAACCATTTGGAGTTAGCTTTTGTACAAGGTAATAGATATAGGCCTCATTTTTTTCTTCTGCATGTGAGCATCCTGATTTCCCAGCACCGTTTTTTTGTTTGTTTGTTTATTTTCAGTTTTACGGTACACTTTAATGTTAAAGATTAAATTATTTTTTATGTGCAAGTAGTGTCTTTCCCCATGTTGGAACAATGATGATAAAAATTTAAAATACCATATGAAGTAAGTATCTTTTTAAATTGAAAAGCAAAGAAAATATCTAGTTACGGCCCCCCTCCAAAACCAAACTGGGTAGAGTAACTACATCTCTAGCAACCTATTAAAATGAGACTAAAAATTAAAGGAAAAAAAGATAAAACAAGTCCTCACATTCAGTTAAGAGATCCCAGCTGTGTACAAGCTTACCAGCAGCAGAGAGGCTGAAAGATATCCTAATCCTGATAACCCCATTCACAGCATTAACTTCAAGTTGCTGTGTTCCAGTTTCCAACTCCATGAACAAAGATTATGTTTTGTTAGTTCTATTTCAGCATACTTCTCATAAGTTGTTTTATTTACAATGCCAACTTAGAAAGGCTCACTGAAGTTAACTAGACAATGGGCTAGGCAGAAATTGCTATACATAAAGAGGGAAAGCCCAAAATGCCACTGCCCACAGAGAACCCAAAGTTCAGTTTTATTCAGAGCAATGAGAAAAAGACAAAACAAGACAAAAACTTCTGCTGATAGAAGAAACTGAGCCGTAGGTCAGATCTGTCCTGGAACCGCACACGCAATGAGGACAAGGCTGCGCTTGTCTACTGCTGTCTACATTAACAGTTTAAACAAGCAGTGCAGGAGCATTTAGAACAACCCTCTAGTGTCACAGAGCACGCACAGTGTTTCACTTCCCCTCACACCAGTTTCTCTTTGCGCATCTGGGCCTCTTCCTCTTCAGTAAAGTCGCTTTCGACGGTGAAGGTTTTATGGATCTCCTCAGTTTTCTCCTTAATCATACTGGCCACAGTCTTGCATGTGACATTAAGCAAACCTTCGATGTCTAAGTAGTTTGCAGCCAGAATAAGTTCAAAAAGTGTTCTTTGGCCAACTTTCAGGAATTCTTGGTCCCAAACAGTAATATCGTCTGTCTGCTTTTCTTTGTTCTCATCATCCTCAGGAGGAGGAGGGTCATCCTTGTGATGGGTGCACCACTGAGTGACCTTTTTTAGAATTGCTACATTAACATTTGTTAAGGGAATAGGATCGTCATCTCCCTCATCATCCATTACCAAATCTTCCAGCATGGCCTTGATGGTCACAGATTGTTTGGCAAGTTCTACATCAACTTCAAATATCTCTCCATCAGAACCCTGCAACCTTATCGAAGGCATGGTGCTAGGTCGAGGCTGATGGGCAGTGCTCAGACAAGACGAGAAATACCGAGGACAAGGCCACTCCTGCTTGTTTTTAAGATGCTCTTTTCCTCCAGTGTATTTTTTGCCGTTTTTGTTGAATATCAAATGTCTATAATTACATGCACTCATGTTTGGATCTTTGATTTCATTCCATTGGTCTCTATATCGGTTTTTGTGTTTTTATTACTATGATTCTGTAATACATCTTAAGATCTGGAATTGTAATACCTCCAGAGTTGTTCTTTTGTTCAGGATTGTTTTGCCTATCAGGGGACTTGAATATTTTCATAAGAATTTTAGGAGCTTTTTGTTTGTTTGTCTCTATGAAGAATAAGACGGGGATTTTCATTGGGCTTACATTGGGTCTGTATGTAATTTTTGGTAAAATGGTCATTTTAACTATTAATCCTGCCAATTCATGAGCATGGGATTTCTTTCCATTTCCTAGGGTCTTTCATTATCTTTTTCCTCAGAGGTTCAAAGTTTTCACTGTAGTGGCCCTTTACTTCCTTGGTTAGGTTTATTCCTAGGTCTCTTCTTTTCTTTGAGACTGTTGTGAAAGGGAGTGTGTCTGTGATCTCCTTGTCTGTGGGTTCGCATCGGTGAACAGAAAAGCTATTGATTTGTGCAGATTGATTCTGTATCTTGCCACACTGCTGAGGTTCCCCCCCATCATTTCTAGAAGTTTTCAGGTAGAATTTTGGGGATCTTAACTTGTATAATATTGTGCCATCTGCAAACAGGGACATTTTGATTTTTTTCTTATTTGTGTCCCTTTAATTTCCTTCTCTTATCGTGTGCTCCAGGGTTTTGAGCACAATGCTGAAAAAGAGTGAGGTAGTGAATGCCATGTGGCGCTCCTGACTTACTCCAGTGGGGTTGCTTTCAGCTTTTCCCCATTTAAGATGATGTTGGCTGTGTTTCTTGTTTCATACTTAGGTCTGTTCCCTTTAGTCTGTTTTATGCCACGGGTTGGATTTCTTCTCTCTCATCTATAGTTATAATTCTAAGTTTTGGTCTTTTCATGCTACCCCACATTTCCTATGTGTTATTTTCATGTGCTTGAATTTTGAAAAATATTCCTTCCTTCTTTGATTTAGATCCTCTGCTTTATCTTTGAGCACTGATATATTATTTTGCTTGATTCATTCTACTTGTAAGACTGCCTTGAGTTTTCTAATTGAGCTTTTATTGAGTGTTTCAATTCCATCCTCATTTCAACTTGCATCCTTTTCAAAGTTTCTATTTCTTTCTTAAATTCCATTCTCAAGTCCTGGATTTATTCACATTCTCCATCAGCCTATGCTTTTGCTTTCTTGGGCATCACTCAAATGTTTGTTCATTGGTGTTTTAGTCTTCTCTAAACTTCTTGAATTCTTTGATGAAATTTATGATTGTTCTTCTAAATTCTATGCCCATCTCCTTGGGTTCATCTAGGTAGTTCCCATTGACAAACATTTGTACAGGACTTACAGATTTTAGAGAGGAGGTACTGGCTTGATCTTTCATATTGTTTGTAGTTTTCAATGACATTTTGTCAGGTGCAATTCTTTTGTTAGTTCTGCTGATACAGACAGAGCAGAATAGAGGATGTGAGAGCAGGTTTGGTCTAGAAGCTGGAAATGAAGTCAGGTAGACAGAGCAGACTGTACTGATGTATAGGATGGGCAACACGGTCCAAGCCTGGAGTATGGTGGTATATCTGTCTGGATGGAAAGCTTGGATTTAGCATGGGAGGAATCTGTGTGTTGGAAGCAGGCAGGACAGGTCCTGATGGAAATCTAACTTTTGGTTGCAGTGCAGGCAGGGATAGCCAGATAGACCTGGACACTCAATGTGGGATCCACTCTAGATCTAGAGGTTTGGGTCATATGTGTCAAGGGGAGAGTCAGGTTGACTCACAGGGCCAAACCTTAGAGAAGCTGCTGTGGGATTTTTACTAGAACATGAGCCTCCCAAACTCCAAACAAACATCCTTTCTAGAAGTACCTAGCTTTAGATATTTGTTGTGATAAAAGAAAACGAAAATAGAGCAAGACAGTGAGTTTAAGGTGTCTCTGTCAAAAAATATTTTCTGGGTTGGGGGAGCTAGCTCAGTCCGTGATGTATTTGCCATGTAAATATGAAGACCCAAATTCAACAACCAAAACTCATGTTACATGCTTGTAATCCCAGGGTAGGCAGAGATATGGAGATCTGGGGGCTCAATGGGCCTAGTCTAATTGGAAAGTTCCAGGTCATAGTGAGAGACACTGCCTCAAAAAAGACAGGTGGCTGGTTCCTAGATAAAGACACCGGGAGTTGACCTCTGGCTTCCACACATGCGTGCACTTGCTCATACACAAAAGGATGTTTCTGCCACTTGTTGTCTTTTCTTCTTTTCCAGCACTCCAAAGAGGGTAGGTCATTTGGGGCTGGCTCTGAACGTTTGTAAGGTGAAGTCACAAAATGAGGGAGCTGCTAAGTAGAGTGTCTTGGGATGGCATGGTTCCCAGCTGGGCAAGTTTGGAGGAGAAAGTACAGGAGAGGTCTCACGAAGTGACAGGAGTAGGAGACAAACGAGAAGCCTTTGTTTGCTAGAAATGTTTTTTATGGCAGTGATCCCTTGTGTGACACTAAAGAAAAATAAATAATCTGAGACATTTGAACATGTAAATGGATACCTGTGTACATTTCTTTGAACAAGACATCACTCTGACAGATACGCTCACACTTGTCACTTGTGCAAATACATCCACACTATGTACTTGTGTAGATACACCCACACTCACACAGTTATTCATACACGCAGTTGTTCAGATACATCCATACGTACACATTTGTACAAATATACTCACACTTTTGTAGTTGTACAAATACACCCACAGTTGTGCAGACACACCCACACTTGTGCACTGTGACTTGACTTTGATGGCAAAGTTCTAAATCACTCTACGTGTTTATCAACCAAGAATTGTTACATGTATATGACCCCATGCAAGGGATACTTACCTTTTAAAAAGAAGATTATTCTTCTTATTTTATGTGTATGGATGTTTTACTTGCATGTATGTAAGTGTATGTACCACATGTGTGTCTGGAGCCTCACCCTCCCTGGGGAGTGGATGGGAGAGTTGGGGGGGTGGGAGGATGGGAGGGAGAGGGAGCTGGGATTAGTATGTAAAATAAGATTGTTTTTAATTTGAACAAACGTTTCTTTTTTTTTAAGAATAACATTCTCAAAGAGTCCGATGCTGTCTTTTCTCTAATTTTCTGTTTGCCACACAGGCGCTGGCAGGTGGCTGCTGGGCTAGGGCCATACAGGGACTGGCAAATTAGTGGCTGACCAAGACCACGGACACACCGGGTCTTGCAGGTGGGCGGCAGGCCAAGGCCACTGCTTCAGTTCCTCTTGGGGGTACACACACTGTAAGGCTTTTTCTCATTCCAGCATCATCTGTCCACCTTGGCTGGGTGTGGTTGAAGTTGCCCTGCGTTTGGATGTCCCCATGAACACCACTGTATGTGTATACGTCTGCTAGTTTTCTGCCTCGGGAGCAGATCCCTGAGATAATCCACCATGAAAGGATTGCTCTGATTACTTTTCAAGGTCTCAGTCCCATGGTTAGTGAGTCTTTTTTTTTATCATTTTTTATTTTAATTTTAAATAGCTTGTTTTACATGTCAATCCCAGTTCCCTCTCCCTCCTCTCTTCCCGCACTCCCCTTCCCCCCTCCCTCCCACCCTATTGCCAAATCCTTCCACATAGGGGATATCTAGAGTCTGTCATTTTACTCTTGGTAGGGTCAAGGCACTCCCCTAAGAGTCCAGGCTGAGAGAGCATCTCTCTTTGTGCTATAGGCACATGAAGACAGTTTGTATACCAGGGATAGACACTGATCCACAGCTCAGGGCCCCATAGGTTGCCCAGGCCTTCTCACTGACACTCACATTTGGGGGGGTCCAGATCAGTCCCATGCTGGCTTCCCCACTGTCGGTCTGGGGTCCAAGAGCTCTCCCCTGTTCAGATCAGCTGTCTCTGCTGGTTTTGCCAGCCCATTCTTTGCCAATTTGCTCATCACTCCTCTCTCTCTGTCACTGGGTTCCTTGGGTTCAGTTCAGTGATTAGTTGTGTGTTTGCCTCTGCTTCCATCAGTCACAGGATGAAGGCTCCTGGATGGTTATAGACATCAAGTTCATTATCAGGAATGGGCATTCGAGGTGGTCTCTCCACTATTGCTTAGCTTGCCAATTGATGTCATCCCTTTAAATCACTCGAGGTCGCTCTGGTGCCTGATCTGTCTTCGATCCTATGATTCCCTTGAGCACAGTACTGTGGAACAGGGCACAGAATTCTTTACTTCATTGCTAGTAAAGGAGAGACAGAGAAAGGGTCTGGGCTCCGTTATTCCAGTCAAGGATATGCTTGAGAAAAAAATCCAAAGATAGCTCACCAGGCCCCACTTCATAAAGGCCCCCTCACCTGCTAAAGGCACCATTTTGGGGACTGAAAGTATTCAACACTGGACCTGTAGGGACATTAGAGAAGGAAACCATAGCAATGTGTCCCAGACACTGATGAATGAATAATATAAACCCAGAGACAGATATTGGGGTTGAAGCTGAAGATCAGAGAAGCAAAGCGCCAGTCACTAGAGAGGTCTCACCTCTACTAACGCTCAGACAGAGGGACGATCCTGTCCTCAGACTGCTCCCGACTGCACTGAGCTCCTGTCTCTTCCACCCAGCCATATCACTCCTGTCTCCACCTCCCCAGTGCTGGGATTAAAGGCGTGGGATCCAGATGTTGGGATCAAGAGTTCGAACTCTGTTTCTCCTTTAGAGTGATTCATTCTCATGTAGCCCAGGGTAGCCTTGGACTCACAGAGATTCATCTGCCCCTGTCTCCCCAGTGCTGGGATTAAAGGTGTGTAACACCTCTGTCTGACCTCTATGGATAACTAGTGTGGCTGCTGGGATTAAAGGTGTGTGCCATC